CACCCTGGGGCTGGGCAGGACCAGACTGAGGCTGCACCAGCTCCCACAACTCCAACTGCTGGGGAAGGAGGGGGCACTAGACTGAGGCGGCAACTGGCCCAGCTCTCTCCTTTGGGCTGCACCAAAACCCCTGCTGCCCAGCTCTCCTCCCTCTGGCTGCTGGGGAGCTAAGGGGGAAATGGACTGAGGCTAACCTGGCTCCCTCCCTCAGGCCACCAGTGGGGAGTAGGATGGGCCAAACCCTCATAACTCCTGAGCACTGCCACTCCCCAGCCCCAGACGCTCAATTTAAACTCCGGCAGCTGCCACAGGGCGATGGTGAGGCCCAGGCCAAAGGGCCCTGCTGCAGAGTCCCGACTGGGAGAGGGCTGGACTGTGGGTCACCCACAGGAGGCACCCCAGCTCCTGAGCCAAGGCTGGAAGTCCCTGGATACTTTTCAAGATGTCATATTTCCACCCAATGCTTGGAAACAAATGTGATGATTTAATTTTTAATGATATTAAGTTGCAGTTAATCAGCTAATCGCAGGCCAAAGGGCCCTGCTGCAGAGTCCCGACTGGGAGAGGGCTGGACTGTGGGTCACCCACAGGAGGCACCCCAGCTCCTGAGCCAAGGCTGGAAGTCCCTGGATACTTTTCAAGATGTCATATTTCCACCCAATGCTTGGAAACAAATGTGATGATTTAATTTTTAATGATATTAAGTTGCAGTTAATCAGCTAATCGAGCAGTCAATGTAATTTCCATCGCTGTCTCTCTGCAATATAAATGTAGTAGAAGCTGGGAGCACAGCAGCCCGGATCCCACTACATTTAAACTGCAGAGCCACAGCAGGGTTAGATCCTGGACCCGGCGCAAGCCAGGACTGAGCTGGGCTGCTGGCTAGCCTGCTAAAAAGTTTACTGATGGGGGGGGGGGGGGGAGGGGGAAAGTTTAAGCTGGCTCTTGCTCCCCCCTCTTGCTGCCGGGGGAAAAGAGTACTCGACTACTCCCTTACATAAATTCATCAGTCTCTAAGGTGCTATAAAACTACTCTTTTTTTAAGTTATTTTTGGTTACTGTCTCCCTCCAGATTTTAGATCTAGTAAATCTCATCCTCACATCTAGACCCCCCCCACCCCAATAAGTGAATAAAAAAGAGAAAGGAAGGAAGCTTAGACTCCCAATTGCTTAACTTTGAATCAACTAGTCATTTATCTGAACACAAGTGAAGAAAATATTTTCTACACCTGCAGCAGAGGCTATTGCTGTTAAATGCTGATTTAGTATTTAACAAATTCTGATTCTAGGTGCTCTACCAGTGACTTCCACCAGTTCATGGATTAGTGTCTGGTTAAAAACATGGTAGTAAAGAGGGATGTGAGCTGTTAATCATAACTAATAACCAACAGGAGCTAGAGTAGCCCACCCTGGGCAGGGGGCTGCTTCAGCAGTCCAGAGCAGTCCCCACCCTCCTCCATTTAATCAGTTAACTAATTAAAAGGGATTTTACATCCCTACTACGAATATAAACAAAAAATAGTATGATTACTCTATAACAACAAGGTTAAAGGTTGTCAATTTCAAAATTTAAATGAAATATTAATTTAATATTTAAAGGGTAATAGTCTACCTTTGCTCATTTCAGTCACATTTCCAGTTTGCTGTACTTTGAGAGAACTAGGTAATTGAATTCCATTAATATAATTTTGTCCTTAAAATTCTCCATGTGGCTTGTAAACATTAAGAAAAAGGTAATAAAGTTTATAGGTTTAATTCTCTTACAAAGTTTTAGTGGAATGTTTCTTCTTTTTAATTCTCATTTTGTTATCCCAACCAGTTCATATAATTTCATTTTAAGACATATTAACTTGCATATTTTCCTGTCCTTCACTGTTTGCACTGGATGCAAACTTTCAGTGTGTTCAGCCAAGAACAGCTTCAAAGCATTATAAGTTATTTGTCTGACTTTCATTCAGTGTAACAGGAAACAATCATGTTATTTCCATCCAAACCTAATAAACCTTACTCAAATAAGGTAAGTTACTTTCATAGAACTATTCATCACATGACTTCTTAAAAGTCGGAGTTACAGATACTGTAGGAATTCAGACTAATCTTTAAACTGTACGAGTTGGGAGTTATCGAAAGGTATTTATTTTGTACTAACAAGAGGACACAGGTATATCAGATCAATGTTATGCTGCACTGTTAATTTTTTATTGTAGGATTTCACAGCCATACGTATTTGGGTAGTCTGCTTTAATATTCATGTAAGTTGATATAAAAAGAAGTGTCAGATTCAGTTAGGGCACTCAGTGGCTTGAACTAAACAAAGTGGTAAAGTAAGAATATTACTACATATTTCAGCAAGCATCAAATTAGTGCTATCTATGAAGTTTGTTGAATTCACACTGCACTCTAAGAATGTAGTTACAAACTAAGAACTTGATCATTAACACACTACTTGATCATTAACACATACTTAAATATATAACTACTGAAAGATCCATGCTTACAATATCTACAATATTCAAATTTTAAACCATTATTCTATTTACATATACCCACACCCCCCAAATATCCAACTTACAATATCTACAATATTCTATTTACATATACCCACACCCCCCAAATATCCAGAAATCAAGAGGTCTTTATTGTTCTTACATCTCCATTTAATGTACAGTTTCAAGACTACTCTGAATTCTTGTTTACTACACTAAACGCATAGAGAAATTCATTGTAGAATTTTCTTCCTCACTACCTACAAATTGCCATCTAATTAGGAAGAAGCATCTACGATCAAAATAATTTCAGCCCTATTTCTAAGTGTTAAAATAGAAATACATAAAGAGCAAACTTGCTGGAAGTTATTTTTTAAAAAAAGTTAAAATTCAAGCAAAACACATACTTGACAGTCACCTCAACCTGTTAATTCCTATTTGGGACAGTCATCAGAATTGTCGTAACCTCACTTCCTCAGACCGTCAGTCCTGAGTCATCAAAAGATTCACAAACCGTGACTAGCGCAGACTAGGCACCCCTGACTGCGAGGCTGAAGATGGGCTCCAACAGTGGGTGAGTAGGTGGGTGTGTCACAATCTCTCCCTGCAGAAGGCGGGTGGGAGCAGGGTTTGGTGCACGCCGCGGTAAGCAGCCTGGTGCCGCATCCCCTGACTGCGAGGCTGAAGATGGGCTCCAACAGTGGGTGAGTAGGTGGGTGTGTCACAATCTCTCCCTGCAGAAGGCGGGTGGGAGCAGGGTTTGGTGCACGCCGCGGTAAGCAGCCTGGTGCCGCATTTCCCTTGTTGCCGCTGTCACGGGCGTGCCAGAGGCACCAAGTCCGGGGCGGCCCCGGCAGGGGGGGACGGG